GCAAACAATTATGTGACCCTCCTGCTCACAGCCTTCCATGTATTGCCCTCTTGCCTCCCTCAATCAAACCTGAACCTCACCTCTCAACCTAGCTGGCAGGGGCTGGGCAATCTGGCTGCCCCTCCCCTGCACCTGCCCACCGGCCCACAGGCCTTTGCCTCCTGACTGCACCTGCCCACCGGCCCACAGGCCTTTGCAGTGTTATATCCAATTCTTGGGGGATGTCTTTCTCCAAAGCTACTGGAGACCTCAGCTTGTCTCCCCTACTTCAGGGTGCTTCCAAGACTCCACCGCACAATTCCACAGGTGTCCCCTCTGAACTGCTGGTGGCAGGGCACCCAGCAGAGGGTACCAGACTGTTCTCTTGCACCATGAGCCTTGTTCCTGGCCCTGATTGGGCCTGGCAGGAGATGAGCCCTGGACTGGGACCCTCATTCCATCTTACCTGTCATCTGGGGAGGGGACTGAGGCTGGGGAGGAAGGCAGACTAGCTCCAGTCTCTGTCTGGGTTCAAGCTCAGGCCTGGAGCCCCACACCAGACAAGGACCTTGAGCAACTTTGCACAGATACACGAGCAGACAGTTTGACAGCTTCTAGTCCAGCAGACTGTGCAGAAGGGGGTGGTGGAGCTGCCAAGCCCCTCAGCAGTTGCCCAGGGGAGGAGGAGTGTCCCAGGCTCTGGACAGTCACCAGGATGTCCTAGGAGGCCACTCTACTCCACCTGCCCCACCCCTCCTGGTAACCTAAGCTCCTCTGCCCCACAGACACCTGCCACTTCCTTGATCTAAAATAACTTAGGTCGTGAGGAGGCCTCCAGGAGGCAAGGGGTCCCAGGCAGAGTAAGGTTACAGACTAAGCAATCAGGCCTAATAAGGCTCCCTGGGCCAGGGCCCCAATGACTCCTAATATGAGCGGAGTTGTCTTCTAGGTAGTTCAGGGAGAAGAGGCCCCATAGGACAACCATCTCTAATCACAAGGCCTCGGCAGACGCTCTCACAGAAGCTGGCGAGCAGATAGGGTTCAAATCACAGCTCCATCTCTCAGCTGTGTGACCTTGGGCAGCCACTGTCCCCTCTCTCGCCAGTCTGCCTGTTACTCAAGTGTTGTGGGTAAGCAGCTGCCCAGAGCTGTGAGTCAGGCTCCAAGGCTCCTTTACAGCCCCTGATCCAGCAGGAGGTGCTGGCAGCGCTCCACCGTCCAGAGGCCTCAGGTCCTCCCAACACTCAAAGTGACATTACAGCTCTAGGAGCGCCGAGGCTACCATTACCCAGGTCCCCAGGTCCTCTGGGGCAGGGCCATAGGCTGTCTGTCCCCCTTTCCTTAGGGCCTCAGCAGGGATCTGCCAAGGGCACAGACCTGAAGCCCTAGAAATGCCAGGTGGGACAAAGGGGTCTGTGAGGCTGGGAGGAGTCTCTCACACACACAGCCACAGGGCACATGCACCCAGAGCTGAAAGAACACACATGCAAAAGCTCAGTCCATAACCATGGATACAAACAACAAACACACGAGAAACACAGAACCCAAGGGCAGCCTGACACAAGCACCCCCACCTTCCCACAGGTGATGTCTCCCCACTCCCTCGGTGGAATCGGCACGGGCAGACAATGGAGCAGTCACACACTGACCTGGGGGAGGGTGTAGTGGGCGCTGGGGCCAGTGCGTGCCCTGTCAGTCCTCTCAGCCGCCTGCAAAGGCGGCTATTTATAAGGCTGTCAGCGCGCTCGCATGGCATGCTGGGAGCCAGCACTCTGGCGAGATGGCAGGGAGAGGGGAGGGTAGAGGGAGGGGGGGAAGGAGGAGGGGAGAGGAGGAAGCAGGGACTCTGATGGAGAGCCTCTCAAGAGTGAGCGTCCCCAACAGGCACCCCAGGGACTGAACCTGCACACAGAAGTCTACCACTCCCCTGTGCTCACATCACTCCCCACGGACAAGGGTCCTACAGCTGGAGAAACTGATGCTCAGAAGGACGGGTTGTGTGTAAGATCTCATGGAGCTGGTGGCAAAGAGGCAAGTAAGAAGGGAGGGAGACCAGGGTATGGACCTTGGGGTTCAAGGGCCACAGTCCTCATGCTCTGAGACCCCCCCCCCCACCCTGAGACAATTTTGTTGGAAAAGACTCTGAGCTCCTCTGGGACCCCGAAGATCTGGTGGTTAGGTAGATAAGAACGCTGCCCCAAGAAGCTGCCTGCAGTGCCCCATAGTTGAGCACTTGAGATACAGACTTTCAGAATGCTCTGTATATCCAGCCTGGGGGGTGTAAACCATGAGAGAGCGCTCATTGTGAGCACGTGGGTGGAGCACTAAGCCAGCAGCCGACCAGCTGTGTCCAGGGAACCTAGAGTAGGACCCAGAAGCTACCTGAGGCTCCTGGGTGGGAAGTCACTCTGCAGGACAACGGGCACTGGGTGACAGGTACTCAAGCAGCAGGGCACAGATGAGAGCCCAGGACCCTCAAGGTTCAGAACTAGTGTATTTGACAGTCAGCAGCTCCAATGGCGAGTTGGGGTGAAACTGCAAATTGTCTTGTAAATGCTAGAGAGCCACAGAAGTTTGGGTGTTGCCTTAGCAACAGCAGCAGCAGCACGGATACCAAGATTCCTGATCTAGTCCCAACTCTGCCACCTGTGACATCATCAAGCAACCTCACTTTTGCAGTTGTGGGAGGGGGGGCTCAGTGAGTCAGAGGTACTGTGTTGCTCTGAAAGCCCTCTTAAAAGACCTCGGCGGGTGTGTGCCATGACAAAACTTTTGGGGAAAGCAGATCAATGATGTCATGCAAACGTCTACCGATCCTACTCTTAGAAACCCATTCAAGCTAACGCTTGTGGGAACAGAGTTCATAACGGAAGGGTCTTCATGCCCGCCGTGACTGACTGGGGGCCATAGTACAGCAGGATGTGGGGGGGGCAGGGACCCTGCCATAAGTGAAAAAGAAAGCCAACTTGCTAGGGTAGCAGCCCCTTAGTGCGAGACATGAAACTCACCTGCCCAGGTCTGGTCTCACCTGAATAAAAATGATTGTAAACCAGGCGGTGGTGGCTCAGGCCTTTAATCCCAGCACTCTAGAGGCAGAGGCAGGCGGATCTCTGTGAGTTCGAGGCCAGCCTGGTCTACAAGAGCTAGTTCCAGGACAGGCTCCAAACCAGCTTGGTCTACGGACAGTCAGGACTACACAGAGAAACCCTGTGTCCAAAAAAACCAAACAACAAAAAAGTGAAAGCAGTTTAAAACACTAAAAGATATTCTGAGGGCTGGGAGGACGGTTCAGCAATTGAGAGTGCATACTGCTTTCCCAGGGACCCAAGTTCAGGCCCAATGGTCCTCTGGACGGTTGGGAAGGCTCCCAACAGCCTTTAACCCCAGCTCCTCCCTGTGGCTTCCTTGGCCACCTGCATTCAAATGCACATGCCCACACACTGACATATAATTAAAAGTAAAATTAAACATGTGACTACAGAAAGAATGTGAGGGCTTGAATAGGAGCCCCACAGGGGTGAGAATGAGAGAGGTAGGTGGCCCTGGGCCTCTACGCTGAGGCTCCCAGCAGGACCAGCTAGGGTTAGTACTGAGAGAAGGGACAGGAGTCCCAGGTGGACTGGTGGAACAGGACCACCAACAGCCGCAGGAAACATCTCCGCAGCTGCTTTAGGTAAGACGCAATAGGAGACAGAGAGGCTAGGGCCTCAGGCAGAGGGAGAGGAGACGTGAACCATGGTTTCACAGAACCCCCCACCCCCACCCAGGAGTGCAGACAAAGACACAGGGCCTGGATTTCTGAGTCACGGAGAGGAGGGCTTCAGAAACCAAAAGGTTTCCAATGCTGAGGTGAGAATCTGGGGGGATGGGACAGGACGAGGCCCTGGGATCTCTAACCCTCAGCTCAACTGACATCCCAGTAACAGGCCCATATTCAGCATCTAACCTCTTCTTCACACTCACCTGTGGGTGAGCGGAGGCACCAGTATTACGGGAGAAACTCTACCGGGACACCCCTGAGAGGATCCAGCTCCCCAGAGACCTCCACATGAAGCTGGTGTGCCATCTCCAGGCTCACTCAAGGCTCAGGACACCCCTATTATGACACCATAAGAAGCCTCTGCTTCTCTGGTCCCTTGTCACTGCCTGTATCACAGTGGTAGCTTAGCTCCTGGCCCTGCCACCTTCTAACCTCCTGCCTAGCCTGCCGCTGCCCCACGGAGGGCTACAGACAAGTACCGAGGCTTTGCCACCCTCAGGCGGGTGGTCCCGGCTGCTGGCCAGCTGGCCCTGAGACCCCACCTTACCACTCCTTACAGTTGCTGTCACTGAGTTACTGGTCCCCGCTGACACTGTAATATGGTTTGTGGCATCTGATGATTAATGAACCACACAGGACAAGGAACAAATGCTAGGTGTCTCTCTGGCCTCCAGGCCCTGGTGGCCCACCGTCTTGCCTGGCCTGGAGCCCAGGACAGCTCTCTTTCCTAGCCCCTCCGCAGTCTGTCCTTGTCTCACACAGTCACCCTTTGTTAGACCTGCTCCCGAGGGACTCTTATCTGCTGTAACAGGCTGTAATTTCCTCTCTGGAGTCAGGGACCCTTCACCTCCTGCCTGTCTGGAGTAAACAAGGCCTTACACTAAGAGGCTGGCAGCTATGTTTACAATCTGCCAAGCTCCTTCTACCTAGAAGGCCGTTTTCCTGCCTCCAGGGCCTTCTCTCTCCTCAGCTGTTCTCTGAGGCTTCAGAATTCTTCCTAGAGCTCGCAGTGCTCCTCCCACTCCTGAACCCGAGCTCCTAGTCAGCCAACAGTGTTTAACACTGGCACTCCAGACACAAAATGCCTTGCCCAACATCAGATCTATCCTGTCTGGACCCAAGACTCCCCAGGCAGCTGGAATCGAGAGGTTTGACACCGCTTATGAGCGCTCCTAACCCAAAGCCTACAGGTTGGTCCTTAGCATATTCCCAGCTGGAAGAGAGGACACAAAATGCAGACTCAAGACACAGAACACCGAGCTGGGGCTTAGGTGTGTTTATTTCTGTATAAATCATTACAAAACCAGATCTCTGGGGCTGTCGCTGACCCCCATTACCCCAGCGTGCGAGGACTCAGAGCTGGCCAGCCCCCACCCTCGTACACAGACACTCCACAGCCTCCGCTGGGAAGGCCTTCGCTTGCAGGCTGTGTAAGAGTGGGCCTTAAACACACCCCACCCAGGCCCAACTTTAGTAAAGTGCTTGAGCAGGGGACAGAACCCAGGTAACCCAGCTCCTGTCTCTCTCTATTCCCATTCCAAACTTGGTGGGGGGCACTTCTCCCCAAAGCCCTCAGCATCTCTAAACAAAGGCTGCCCTGGTGTGGCTGGGAGACCCGGTCTCCATTCCAAAGGCTCCTTTGGGCAGAGGGAACACTCACCTGCTGCAGGGCAGGAAGAGACGCCTGGCATTTTGAGAGCCAGGCTAATGGCAGCTGGACTGAGAGGGGCTGAGAAAACAGGTGCGTGTTTGCCCCACTTCCTCAGAGTTCCTCAACCATAAGGGCATTTACACAAGAACACCCTGACGTGTCTAGGAGGTGGGGAAGGGCACCCCAGGCTCCCATCCCCAGGGAGCTGAGTCCCCCAGTGACAATGATAGCTGGGGTGGAGTAAGGGTCTCTGTCTGCACACAGGAATGTGATATCGCATCATGCCAGAAAGAGAGAAGGGCTTGTCCAAGGTCACTCAGGAAGAAGCCAGGACCCGGACACCCGCCTCCTACCTCCCAGCCTTCCCTACCATTTCTAGAACTCCACAAAGTCTCTGGCCTAGCCTCCTGACAGCTCCTACCCCATATAGTATCTTTGATTCCAGAACTGTGGGGCAACACAAAGTCCCCAGATCCTTGGGACAGGACCTCTTTGTCCCAGCTAAGGAGGGGATGATATGGGGCCGATTCCTGGGGCTCTGATGCAAGGCCTATGGGAAAGGACATGACCTAAGCCTCAGACTAACTCAGCAAGACCCTTATACCCTGATTGACTATGCTCAGACCCTGACTAGACAAGAAAGACCCCCTGACACCTGATTAAACCATACAGAATTCCAAATCCCTGATTGACCAAGAGATAACCCCAGCCCTGCTTGGCTGGAGGAAAAACCCCATCAAGGCCCTGATTTGATTGGCTGGGAAATACTCCAGTCAGCCCAGACTGGCTGGAAGATGGCCATGGTCAATGGTTGAACCAGAGCCACTTTGCCTGCATCTCTCCGAGACTGCACGGATGAATGGCTAGGTCCAGGAGGGGTGAGAGAAGGTGATGCCGTAGAGCTGGGCCCAGGATGAGAAGACCCTCTTCTCGGTGATGAAGCGGTGGTGATTGCCCTTCCGGCTGTGCTCGTTCTGGATGTAGGTGACACACTCATCGGGCCCCTTGGGCTCATAGTAGTGGTATGGCATGCGCTGCAGGCGGGGCCGCTGGCTGGGCACAGCAGACAGGGATGTCAGAGGCATCAGGGACAAGGCGGGCACCTGTAAGGGCTTTGTTCTGCTTCCACCCCTCACCCATCCTAGAGTCCCAGTGACATCTCTGTCCTTCCCCAAGCTTCAGTTTCTCCATCTATACAGTGGGTATATGGTGGATTAAATTTGTGGCACCATCAAGCTTCTTTTAAACAAAATGGAACATTTTTCTTTCTGGGGCTGGGGGTGAGGCAATGGTGAAGAACTGTGGGCTCAGAGGCCTGGTACCCCTTACAGTTTCTGAGACCTTAGGTCCCCTCACTAAACACCTTCCTCGATTTGCACTCAGAAAATGGGGAGGACAGTGTCCTGGCAGTGTGTGAAAAAAAGGATGCTGGGTGTATGGTTGGCACTCATTAAGACACGGCTAGCACTCCGTGGAATTTTCATATAGTCAGTACAACAAACCCCAAACTCGGTTTGGAGTGGAAGCGCCTGGGGCAGCTCCAAGGAGCCCATCTCTACAGAACAGCTTGAATTTATCCAACAGAGGCCCTCAAGACGTAGCCTCAGCAATGACTCCATCAGTAACTGGGTGTGGTTCTCAGGGGTACTAACCAGGGGAGCTCACCTGCAGTAGTCGGGAGGGACCATGCCGTACACGTGCACATGGTCACACAACTCCACCGCAATCACCATGGTAAAAAAGCCCGTGCTCAACCAGGAATGGGATTTTTCCCTGGGGGCAGAGAAGAGTCTCAATGAAGGGACATGCAGGCGGGGATGGGGAGCAAGCAAGGAAAAACGGTCAACCCCCATGGAGGCTCCCAGACACTCTACCTACTGTCTAACCAGACACTGTGTATCACCTGCTGTGGGAGCACTAAGGCTGCCAAAGGGGAAGGGCGCAATGGAAACACCATGAACTCTAGAGACTAATTAAACAGGGCAGGCTGGGAGTAACCGTGACCTTAAAGCATGCTAGCAGGCAGCTGTGTCTCCGCTGGGACCAAAATGGGGACACTAGCGAGAAAATGATGCTGAGGTGACCACACAGCAAGGTATAAAGGTATGGGCTCGTACTCGGGCTACAGCAGCCACCAGCTACATGTGGCTAGGTAAGCAGTTGGTATGTGTCCAAAGGTAGCATGAAAAGCAGAGTATAGACTATGTCATTCATAGTGTTTTCAAGTTGATTACATCACACAGACACAGACACACACACTGTTTTGTTTGTTTTGAGTAAGGGTTCTGTGTAGCCCTGGCTGGCTTCAAACTCACAAATATCACCTTATGAATGCAGGGCTCTTGGGGACCAGCAGAGGGCAGCAGATCACCTGGAACTAGGGCTCTGGGGGGCTGTGAGCAATGGGTCCTGGTGCAGGTGTTGGGGACCAAACTCAGGTCCTCTGGAAGAATGCAGGTGCTCATAACCACTGAATCATCTCTCCAGCCCTAATTACAACTTAAGTCAAAAATGTTTTTCGTGTATTTGGTGGAAAGCGGTTCTTTGAAACATTTTAAAGAAAAGCACAGCAGTAACAAGTGTAACAAAAACAAAACAAAAAACAAAGACAGCACACTGCACAAGCTGCCAAAGACTGGAATAAAAGAAATGGCCCCTCTTCTTTAGGGATGCTAAGGAGAATCCACAAAGAGCTACAGATACAAGTCTCACACCTTACAAAAACTTGAGACAGAACACCCTTTCAGGACCTGCTCAGGCCCTAGGTACGCAAGCAGTGCACAGATACACACAGGCCAAAGGCTCAGACACATGAATCTTTAAAAATTAATAGTTAGGTATAAATCTACCAATAGATGTATAGAATCTGTATGTTAAGCGTATTACTTTAAATAACACTGAAGTTAGAAGCACCCACTGCTATTATCTATCGTTAGCTACTGCAGTATTTTAGATCACACATGGCCCATACTGTATTTATATAGGAAGGGAATGACTAAGTTTCTAGGGAGATTAATTGGAGAGGAGCATGTTGGGAAAGATAGTTCCTTAGAACAGAGCATGCTGGGAGCACCTGTGTGCTTATAGCAAGGCATGCTGGGTACAACCTAAACTCTAGGAGCCATACTATGCAGAGTACCTAGAAAGATGCTAGAAACACCTCTGCCACAGCGCAAAGCATCCTGGGAGCACCTGCTCTCTTGGAGTACAGCATGCTGGGAAGAAGCAGGGGTGGGGGTAGGGAGTGGCGGCAGGCAGGTGGGGGAGGCCACGGTGAATGCTGTGAAGATGACTCCGGTTAACAGCTGAGGAGAGCTGGGGAACCCTGAGGACGGCACAAAGTGGCCACACCCTTAACATAGTGCATGCTGGGAGTATCAGGCCAGAGATGACTGCAGCGGGCAGGTGGGAGGCTGGTACCTGTCCTTGCCCGTCTCACCCCGGAAGAGGTCGTCAAACTGCTGCATACGGGCGGGAGAGACGGCATAGGCCTCCATGTTAGGGAACGCAAGGCCCGCCCGCTGGATAACTTGCAGGAGGCTGCCCTGTGGCTTCTGCATCTTTTTTGGGGGACCCCAGAAGATGAACACCGTCTCAGGGGTTCGGTTGACGAATTCCTGGGGCTTCCTCAGCACACGGAACACACTGGAATGGGCCACTATGCGGAAGGTGGTTTTGTTGCCTACGTCGGCCGAGTAGCCAGTGGTGGGCGCATCATTCATGCGGATGGTACACTCGGCCCGCTCAATTTCAGGGCCCAGTTTGGTACCCAGCAGGTGGCTGGAGCTGGTTACGATCACGCACTGATTGCACCGGGAGGGCAGCGTCTGTGGGGCAAGGAGAGGGACGCTGTCAATGGGGCTCTGCGCAGGGTTCTGGACTCTAACAGCCTGGCCTGCGGGAGCTGAGGACCCTCGTGACCTTCAGAGCACACTCAGCCTAGTTCTGTGGATGGTCCAAACCAGCTGGGGACAGAGAAACAAAAGACAGTCAGGTCCTCTCCTTCGATATGTTTGCCATCTCGAGCATCACTCCCAGAGTCTCTACAGGCAGTTAAGAGATGCTGGGGCAGTGCTTAGAGCTGGGAGAAGAGAAGGAAGATGATCAAAATACATCGTATACATGCATGAAAATGTCATAAGAAACCCATTATATAATTAATATAGGCTTACACAAAACAACAATAACAAAAGGAAGACAGCGTTCGGGAGACAGACAGCATAATACACAATAAGAAAAAACACGGAAGGAGGTGATCAGAAACAGAGAGATGGAGGCTTCTTTAGAACAGTCTTTCAAGCCAGGCCATGGTGGCGCACACCTTTAATCCCAGCACTCGTGAGGCAGAGCCAGGCAGATTTCTGAGTTCGAGGCCAGCCTGGTCTACAGAGCGAGTTTCAGGACAGCCAGGGCTACACAGAGAAACCCTGTTTCTAAAAACAAAACAAAAAGCAATCAAACAGCCTTTAATCCCAGCATTCGGGAGGCAGAGGCAGGCGGATCTCTGTGAGTTCAAGGCCAGCCTAGTCTACAAGAGCTAGTTCCAGGACAGGAACCAAAAAGCTATGGAGAAACCCTGTCTTAGAAAAAAAAAAAAAAAGCAATCAAACAAACAAAAAAACCAGTCTTCAGAATCACACCTGAAGAGTAAGTTGCCACTTAAGGAAAGATGTTCCAGGCCAGAGGAAGAGCAAGTACAAAAACTTGAGACGGAAATACAGCAGCACATTGAGAAACAGAAGACGGAGGCTGGCTGGAACTCAGCTGTGTGGCCAGGCTTCCTAAAAGGACGCCTCCTCAACCTCAAATGCACCAGGCCATTTTCCATAGCCTTCAACAAGCTCCAACACAGATACACACTCCCCTAACTAGTTTTCCCACCATCAGACCGGGGACATGACAAGCCAGGCTCAGACTCCCTTTCCCTTCACACCACCCACACTGTCCCTTTCTCTCCCCATCCACTCTCCCATTCCTCTTAACCCCAACTATGGGTCCCTTCCAGGGAGGGTGCATCTAAAGCCCAGGGACCTGCTCTGGATAACAAAGGCTCTGAAGGAAATCAGCAAGGGAAGAGAGTCTGAATACATGAATTCCGCAGACACCCCAAGGCAAAGAGAGGTACTCAACCAGGTCCATAGAGGCAAGAGTGCTGGAAACTCACCACTAGACCCCAGTCACTTGACCTTTGGATCTAGTTGCAATTTAGCAGGGGCTGGAAAAATCTCTCCCTCCCATGTGGCAGGGTGTTAGCCAGGTGATTCACATCCTGAGCCTTGATCACTTCTAGGGAGATAATAGCACTGGGCAGCCATTATTGTTTCTGCTTTGTGTTCTCCAGGGCCTCAGGGGTCTCCTCCCAAGCTTATCGGGGTGTGTCCCCAGGGATCCACGAAACTGGGAGTCTGACTCCAGAGACAACAGAACATATAGTTTTGTTTTTTTTAATTAATGCGTGTGTGTGCATGTGTGTGCGGGGGGGGGGGGGAATGCATCTCACAACACACTCCCACAAGTGTGGAGGTCAGAGGCAACTTGCAGGTGTTGGTTCTTTCCTTCCACTATGTGGATTCCAGAGATGGATCTAACACAGGTCATCAGGCTTGGCAGCACGTGCTTTCTCTATGAGCCACCACCATGGACCCAACAATAAACTTTTTTTTTTCAAGACAGGGTTTCTCTGTGTAACAGTCCCAGCTATCCTGGAACTCGCTCTGTAGATGAGACTACCCTCGAACTTGCAGAGATCCACCTGCCTCTACCTCCTCATTAAAAGCATGCACCACCACCGCCCAACAACAGACTTAACACTAAAGTCAGGACCCTGATGAGAACTGAGGTTCATTGCCGAACACTTGTCCAAGCAAAGGGCCATGATCTTGACTCATGACCCTCACCCATCCTCTTCCCTAGGAGGCAGAGGGGTATGGGAGAGAAGAGTTGGGGGTGCGCCATATCAGCAGCCACGGATCTCCCCACAGAATCTGCTCTACCTTGTTTCCCAGGATAGGAAAGTAGGCGTTGGAGAAACTCCACTTCTTGAGGTTGACGGGCCGACGCACGCGGCCCCTCAGGGAGCCGTAGTGGAAGACCTCGTTGGCACTGTTGGAGCTGTAGAGGATGAGGATGGTGATGAGAGCAAAGAGGACCACAAACACTGCTGACCGCTGCTCCTGGAGAAGGGAGAGGCCATTGAGGGTTCAGGCTCACACACAACACCGTGCCCTTCAGACCAGACCAGATGAGTTCGGGTACCACTTCCTTCTGGCATCCACCAATCATGTTCCTTCTTATTCCCTCTACCCCGAGTCCTAGGATGGAACCTAGGGACTCATGCAGCCGAGACAGTTCCTCTACCTCTGAACTATCCAGTCATGTTGCCTGCCGACTGCTACCCCTTCAACCTAGGCTTGTAGCTCTGAGTACCAAGGCTGCGCCAGCCTTGTTCCCAGGCCCCTGGGGGAGGCCTGCAGAAGGAGCCCAGAAAGAGCGCCCAGCATGGTGCTGCACATTTCCCAGTGTTTTGGTGCACACACCGAGTTAGGCAGTGTAAGTTATCTAGAGATGATAAACCTCGTATATTGTGAAGGTTATATCCAGTTACTAAGCCATCCTATATGAAGAACTTGTGCTCACACCCTTGGATCTGTCTCCTCAGGAGACCCCGGAAGCAAGCCAGCATAAATACGAAGGAACGTGTCACCTCCCGCTCTATGCTCACCTATTTTGCCTGCTTGGTGAAAATGGATCTGGGCTCTGTTTAAGTGTTTTCCCTGCCAAAGCATTTTAGGAAGCCCCAGTAGAGGGAGCTGTTAAGAATAAAGGCAGTATGGGCAGGACCCCTAAAGACCTTTGGTTCCCACTGGACCACAAGTTATTAAGTTCAGCTCCTCCAGGGCACTCAGCCACCGGCAGCCCCCAGAAGCCATCACCTGTCCCCACAGGGCCATGTGGTGGGCGGACTGCAGCCCTGTCTCCAGCTGGGTCTGCGCTTGGGGCTGACACCTGGTCCTGGATCTAACAATCAGATTGCGCCCTGATCAACCCACTGTAACTAGGAAATATCAGAAGGGAGAAGAGGCATTTAATCCAGGCAGTCAGCTCAGTAGCGTCCCAGCCCAGCAGCACTGCACAGCAGGAGGGGCTCTTTGGAAGCTGAAGGCCTCGGGCCCACCCAGTATCACCAGGGGTAGCATAACAAACAAAACCTCAAGTTTCAGAGTGTAGGTCCCACTGAATGCTTAGCATTTTTGCATCACCAAAAGCCCCCATCTGGCAGCTGGGATGGGGGGGGGGTCAGTTGACAGTGCTCAACTAGCGTGCCCCAAGCCCTGGTTTTGATTGTCAGTTTTACATAAACAAGCCTGAAGTCCCTGCACTGGGGAGGTGGAGGCTGGAGGATCAGGAAGGAATTCCTAGACTACATAGCGAGGCCAACCTGGGATATACAAGACCCTGTCACACACACACAATTTTTTTCTAAGTCTAACCATGACAAGTCAAAGATCCCCATATTTCTTCTTGTTTGTTCGTTCTTTGAGACAGGTCTCTCTATTTAGGCCAGGCTGTACTGGAATTCATTCTGTACTCGCAGAGATTCACCTGCCTTGGCTTCCTGAGTGCTGGGATTAAGAGTTCCATTCCCTGTTGCTCCATGCCCCGTTGCCATTGATAATTCTCTGTATTAAACCATCTCTGTCAAAGGACTGAGTTATCTTTCTCCTAAACTTAGAACGCTACAAGCACATGCCCCGCTTTCAAATCTCACGTTCTGCCACGGAGCCCAGATAAAGGCATGGGGGGGGGGGGGTCAAACACATAGCAGGAAACAAGAACAAACACATGATGGGGAACTCAGGTGCTCTGATTTTGAACATGGCCATTCATTCCCAAGGCCCCTGCTCACCTCCCTATCCTGTGTTCTGCATGGCATCCACAGACACCTTCACACAGTAATTTCCCACAGACGAGTCAAGCTTAGGACATCAGAGAGGACACTGGGCCCAAAAAGAAGCAAGACCTTCAAAGATCAATGGCTCAGTGGCTGAAGTGGAGTTTGAACCCAGGCCTCCCTCTGTGGGTTGGAGCGCCTTCCATTGAAGGCTGCCAGCGGCTCAGATCGGGAGAGCCCCTCCCACTGAAGGTTGTGAGCAGCTCAGACCGGGATAAGAAATGAAGGGGACTTACTTTGTTGCTACTCATCTCTCTCCGGCGTCTGCTGAGGGGCAGGGGCCAGCGTCCTGCAGGTGGCCCGGGGGGCAAGGTGGTGGGGTCACACCTGCAAGCCACCAGAAAGGGTTATGGCCAGAGGCCCTCCCTAGATGCGGCTGGATCACAGGTCTTACCCAACAGCTCTCCTACATGCCCCAAACTTAAAGGCTCAGGGCTGCACCCATGTTGTCCTGGTTCCCACTCATAGTTCATGCTGAGTTGGTTCAGGTTTCCTAGGTCGTCGATTCTCCCCAAGCGCCACCTCACAGACCTCTGAACGATATGACTCGATGAATTCAGTCATCGGCCAGTGTGATCTTGGGGGTCAAGGGCACAGCCATGATTCTCAGAAGTCCAGTGGTGTCTCAGCTGAGGGATGGCTACACTTGCAGCCGTACACAGGCCTGCCTGCCCCGGACCAGCCGTGTGCCTCTCCCCCACCGCTGGGCCTAACCCTTCTACACTTCCCTTTCCCCACCTATAAGCAGGCTATAAGTATTCGGATCCAGTCCACCTCCGACAGCTACAGCCCAACAGGCAAATCTAATGATGGTGTAAAAAGGAAGAAAACGGCCTGGATCCTCGGAGGGGATCCCCGCTTCAGAGAGCTCCCCTGGGGGCCTCTCAGTTCCCGTCACTATCTCCGCCCCCTGACCTAGCAGCTGTTTACTCCCACACCAGGAATAGCTGGAATCCTCAGGCCAGAGAGCCACACACACTCACCCCGCTCCTGATTGGCCAGCCCTGGCCCCTCCCATCGCCGGGCCCGGCCCCACCCCGTGGCGTCCCCCTCTGCTCTCCCCAGACTTCGGGATTCTCTTGGGCCGTCCCTGCACCTCCAATCATGGAGACCCCAGACTCCCATCGGTCCCCACCGGGCACTCCAGGAAACCGAGGCTCATCGGAAGGGAGGCGCGGCTTGTCCTTGGACTGAAACCGTTACAGTAAAAGACAGACGGGCGTGCAGAACCCAGAATCTTTCTAGTCACCCCATCAGCCCTGCCATCTCCAGTATTCAAAGCGCTCCCGGGTCTGGCTGCAGCTCCCAGAGAGACCTCGGTATTACTACCCTGTCCTGCACATGCCCCTTCTCCAGACACTTGGAGCACTCCAGGTGCCAGGCCCACGCCCCACTTTCCCACCTTTGCCTGAGCAGTGCCCTCAGCCAGGACCACGGTCCCCCTGGTCAGCCCCGTCACGGTCCTGCTCTGAGAAGGCCATAGTCAGGACAGCATGTCAGGTGCCAGTGCGAATGTCGGGTCCACACTTACTGGCTGGGGGGCCTCGAGCAAGCCATGTGACCTCTCTGAGCCTCAGTTTCCTCATCTGCGAAATGGGAATAAGAACTGGTAACTCCTGGGGTGACTGGAAGGATTCACGTAGAGATGTGATAAAGGGCGCCCAAGGCTTGAAAGTGCTCTATCAGATGTCCTTAGCCTTAGGGTTCAATGCCCGCCCCTCCCTGCACCAGCCTGTCCCAGAAACAATCCTCCTCCCCTTGATCCCAAGCCAGGGGCCACCCCTATATTACGGAACATGCCCCATCGCCCGCCTACAGAATCCTAGCAACGCGGCTGGTAGGTGCTCTTGCTCCCCATTTCACAGATGAGGAGACTGAGGGATCAGGGCGTCAACGTGCCTTGCAGGCCGCCGGAGCAGGCAGAGGGAACCTTAGATGCGTTTGTTTACAGGGCGGAGCCTGAAAGGGCCTCCCGCGGGGTCCCCCTTCATTCCCGAGAGCGCCAGACGTCCAGTTCGGCACGGAGCGGACGGGCCTGATGGGGAGCGGCTGACCCCGCTGGGAGGTGGCACCCCGGAGCCCGTACTCAGCCGCGGGGCTGGACGTGCGGAGGCTGAGCGCTGAGCTGCGGGTGAGGGCCGCACCCTGAGCTCGGTCTGGGGCTTGGCTTCTCCGGGTGCCGGGAGCAGGGTACCCCCAAGTGCCGCGTGGGAGGCTCAGTCCCGTGCCACCTCTTTGGCTGTTGCAACCCGGAGTCGGGCACCCTGACCCCTGCTCCGTAGGCGAGGGGAGCGGGACCGCGGCAGGGTCCCCCATCTCCAAAGCGGGATGCCCAGTGAACCCCGCGAGCCTTGAGATCTCGGGGCGCGGTTAGCAGGGAAAGTGGGTCTCGGGGAGCCCCGGGGACCCCCTTCTCAGCGGCTCTCCATCCCCGCGGCGCAGGCACAAGCCCCCGCCCCGCTACCCGCCCCCGCGCAGCGCCCGCTCACCTCCGCCGGGGAGCGCCAGGCCCCCCGCGGCCCCCGAACCCCCTCACATGGCGCCGGGAGCCGAGAACCGGGGTCCGCGCTGCTCTGGCTGCCCAGGCCCCGCCGCAGCTCCGGCCCGCGGGGTCCTAGCGCCGACGCTCACAGACCGGGGGGGGGGCAGCCTGGAGGGCGGAGCCTCCGGCTGTGGGTGGCTCCGCCCCAGGGAGGTACCAGAGAGGAAGGATGCTCTCCAACAGCCTCCCATCCCATCTGATTTCTCTCCCTCCGTGTGGACACCAATCAAGACCTCAGATAGGGAGACTGAGACGCGGAGATCACTGGACTCGAACTCTGGCCAATAACTCCCTGGGCTCCTCCACCTTGAGATTCAGTAGTAACTCCCTGGGCAACCTGATACATTACTTTAATTCAATACGGCTGGAAAATGGAAAGACTGTCTCAAAATATAGCTTCTGCTGAGCCTAGTGGTGCAGGCCTCTAAGCCGCACTTAGAAGGTAGAAGGAGAGCAGAAGGCTGTTGGAAGTTCGAGACCAACCTAGTAGACATAGTGACTTCCAGGCTGGCCAGGGCAACCTTGGCTCAACTCTCTTCATCCTACCCACCTATTCATTGTAATTATTATTATTATTATTATTATTATTGTTGTTGTTGTTATTAGTTTCTCGAGACAGTGTTTCTCTGTAGCTTTGGAGCCTGTCCTGGAACTAGCTCTTGTAGACCAGGCTGGCCTCGAACTCACAGAGATCCGCCTGCCTCTGCCTCCGAGTGCTGGGATTAAAGGCTTGTTCCACCATCGCCCAGCTCATTGTATTATTTTATGCATCTAAAAGGAAGCATCACGGGACTGGAGAGTTGGCTCAGCACTTAAAAAATACTGGCTACTCTTCTAGAGGATCTGGGGTCCATTCCCAGCACAGTCCTAGGGAATCTGACTCTCTCTTCGGGCCTCCATGGACACTACACATATTTGTGGTACACAGACATATATGCAGGCAAAGCACCCATATACATAAAATTTAAATTAAAAAAAAAAGGCTAAAGGGTAGTGGCGCATGCCTTTAATCTCTGCACTCGGGAGGCAGAGGCAGGTGGATCTCTGTGAGCTCAAGGTCAGCCTGGTCTACAAGAGCTAGATCGAGGACAGGCTCCAAAACCAAAAAAAAAAAAAAAAAAGCAACTGAGGGCTGATGCGGTGGTCAAGTAAGCCAGACATGATGTTGTGCGTTTGTTTTTGTTGCTGTTTGGGTTTGGTTTTTCAAGACAGAGTCTCACTGTGTAGCCCTAGCTGTCCTAGAACTCGCTCTGTAGACCAGGATGGCCTCACAGTCACAGGGATCTACCTGCTTCTCCTTCTGAGTGCTGGGATTAAAGGCGTGCACCACCACCTGTTGCAGTCACGCGTCCCTAGTCCCAGCTCTGGGATTACTCTGGGGATGTGAAGACAGGGAGATCCCTCTGTCTGGTTTACCCTATCTGGGTCTTCCAGGTCCATAAGAGAACAACATTGGAGACTCACCTTTGACTTCCACACATGCGTGAACATGCGCATATGTACACACGCATGCGCAGAAGCCACCTAATGAGCCTGTTAGGAGACTGGTTAAATGAACGCAGACACGGCCTGCCTGTCCATCGTGCTCTAAGACCGTGGCTTGCTGGGAGACGGTGGCTTGCTGGGAGAGGGTGGCTTGCTGGGAGAGGGTGGCTTGCTGGGAGAGGGTGGCTTGCTGGGAGAGGGTGGCTGGGACGTTGCAGGACACCTAAGTATAGAGAGCAAGTTTGAAGAGCTTTGTTGTATAATCACTTTGGAAAACAACATAGTAAAAATTTCCATTTCACACCGTGGGTACCTAGAAGTCCCTGCAGATGTACCCAGTGATGTTTACACCGTTTAAATACAAACGTGGAAATAGTCCAGATATCTGGCAATGGGAGAGCAGAAGGTTTTGTTTGGTCTGGTTTGGTGTTTTGAGACAGGACTTGCCTGTGTAGCCTTAGCTGTCTTGGAACTCACTCACTAGGCTGGCCTTGAACTCAGATCCACCTCCCTCTGCCTCCGGAGGTGTGTAACACCACTGCCTGGCAAGGTATTTTTTTTTTTTTAATATTATGAAACATTTACCCTGCGGAATATCACCCAGCAAGGGCGGTGAATAGCTACAGGTGTGCTGGAGAATCTTGGAGACCTAAGGAGTGAAAAGGACGTGGGAAGGGAAGCAAAGCTACCCACGTGGCTAGGGGAGTGGATTCAGTAGATCAAGTTCAAGGGCAGCCTGGGCAACAGAACACCAGTTTCCTTCATCCCCTTCCCTCCTGCACCCCTCCCCACCCCCGCCAGATCTCAGCTACTGCAGGCAGACATGCCCCCTGCCATGATGAAAATGGAATCAAGCACCCTATTAAATGTAAGAATTGCCGTGGTCACTGTCTCTTCACAGCAATAGAACTAACACAAAGAAGAAACCTACAGAGCACTGCCAAGGGCAGGAGATAGCCTTTGCCGGTATCACTGATTAAAGTTTTAAGAACCCTGAGGAGGCGCACACATTACAGTAGCCGTGGATATTGACTTCAAGAGGCTCGTGGCATCCGCATGCATTATAATTTACTAATATGACATAGACAGCTCGGCCCATCACAAAATCAGAATATCACCATTTCAGAAGAAAGTTCAGGGCTGGAGAGATGACTCA